AAGGTTTGGGCCCACACCAAGCTGGAGTATTTACAGAAGAGGATTGAGGAAAATACAGGGGCTAAAAGCAGAGCAACACCTCCAGAGAAGACAGTTCAGGGGACAGAGGGAAGGCACCCTTCTCATGCCTCCACAGGGTCTCCCACATGGGGTAACAAACAGTAAGGACAGCCGACCCTTGGCATGCTCAGCGACTGGGCCTCCAGTCCACCCGTGGTTCTGCTGTCCTGTGACCAGCTCCTTCCTGCTTGTCAAACTAGCTCTCTCTCCATGTGCTGAAATGCAGTCCTGTCCCTGACCGTGAACCCCACGGTTGGGGTCCTCAATTCCTCTATCCGGCCAAGGCCACACAGCTGGTAAGTGTACAAGAAGAAGCTAAGGCCCGTCTGCCTGCTGTTCGCGCCAAAGCACGATGTAGCCCCTCTGGGTCCTTGACTGAGGTTTGGTGTCCTTGTCGGCACCCACGTTCGGCACCCACGTTCTGTCATTACACGAGCAAAAATAGCTTCATCTGGACCATCCTTTGGATTCCAAGAGCCTTGAGAGCAAAGTCCTGGATCCTGCTGCTCCTTGCCTCTTCTACCAGTCATTTTACTTAGTGGATGTTTACTTACACATTTTAAATTAGGTTGAAGTTTATCGATACCTTTAGTTGATTATGGTGACTTCACCTAAGTCTTAGAGGCTTCACTGACAGAAATGAAGTGTGGGGCGAACAGTCCCGCTGAGCTGTCTGGCAGAGAAAGTAAGGATTCCAAGCCTCCCTGAGTGGCACTTTTCCTACCCTGGATAGGTGTCTTTGTCCATTCAGGCTGCTATAACAAAATACCACCACTGAGGTAGTTCATAAACAACAGAAAGTTACTGCTCACAGTTCTGGAGGCTGCCAGTCTAAGATCAAGGCCCCAGTATGGTCACCTTCTGGTGAGGGCCCCTTCCTGGGTCACAGCAGCTGCCTTCTCGTTGTGTCCTCACAGGGTGGAAGGGGCTAGAGATCTCTCTGGGGCTTCTTTTATAAGGGCATTCATCCCAAACATGAAAGCTCCACCCTCATTCCCTAAGCACCTCCCAAAGGCCCCTTCTAATACTATCACCCTTGGAGCTTTGGATTTCAACCTATGAAACTGGGGGGACACATCTGTACCATAAAACTGGGGGAAGAAGATCCCCTGGGTGATCTGACTGTGGTTTCTAAGCAGGGATGTATCTTTGCATCCCCAATCCTGGTATCCAGACGGAGCTCCTTTTGTTTCACGGACAAATAACATTAAGGGCTAAAAACCATCTGTAGAAAGAACAGAAGCACAGCTCTAAGGCTGAGAGAGAAGACCAGCTTCGGGAGGTCTGGTTCAGTGGCATCGATATCACAGAGGTTTAGGCCTGGGGTTCAAATGTGAGCATGAGCACATAACAGCTGTGGGATCGCAGGCACCTTCTTGTCCCCCGGCAGCTCAGCCTCTCTTCCTCCCATGGTCAGGGCAAGAATCATGAGACTTTGCTTAAACAAAAGAGGTGAAATGAGTTTCTGCTCTCACCTGGAATCCCACTCGAAGGACAGTAATTTTTTAAATGGCATTAAATGACAAGGATAAAAGGACCAAGAAAAGAGACAACCATAGGCTAGAGAGGTCAGTAAAGTTTGGGAAGTGGGCAAGCTGAGAGCGAGTGCTTTCTGACTTAACACAAAGTTGAACCCAAAGTCACAAGGAGGGGAAGTCAGCTAGAAGAAAATCCATCCTCACCCTAGTACCCTGGTAAGGGTCAGGAATCAGGGGCCCCAGGGCCCACTGTGAAAGCAGGACTTAAGGGAAAAACTGAGAACAGAAAGTCTGATTAAACAGTTGGATACCAAGACACCCCCAATTCATTATTTTTACTCTCTGTACAGCCATCCTTGATTCCTTTCTCTCAACCTCCATCATCAAATCTGGTTGGCTCTCCCTTCAAATACAGCCAGAAAGATCTGCATCCCTCACCTCCAAGACCCCATCTCCCATCACTCGCTCCCTCCATTCCCACACCTTGTTGCCTTTACTAGACACACTGGGGGCACACCTACCTCTAGGCCTCGGCCCAGGCTGTCCTCACTTCCGGGAGCTCCCTCCAGATATCCCCACAGCCACCCTCTCCCTACTTTCATACCTCCTACTCAGATGCCGCCTTCTCCGACCATTCCCCATCTCCCTTGGCCTGCCTTTTCTCCAAAGCACTTTTCCTCACCTAACATATTATATATTTGCTTACTCCCTGTTTCCCCCACTGAAGTATCAGCTCTTCTAGGGCAAGGATTTGTCTATTCCATTCATTGCAGTATCCCCAGAACCTAGAACAGTGTCCAGAACATGGTGGGTAATCAATATTTGTTGAACAAATGAAAGGAGAAACCAAACTGAAGACCTCAGCAGAAAGCAGGAAGACAGAATGGTTCTTACCATTAAGTAGATTACAAACAAAACAAAACAAAACAAAACAACTTTGGATAAGTGGTCCCATTTCCCCCCAGAAAGGGGAGTAGGAACACGCACGGGATCTTTACATGTCAAAATCTTCAGCAGATCCAACCCAGATGGAGAGCCCATCTCTTCCCCAACGCCATGAAGCAGATGATGTCACCTGCACTCACCAGCACCTGCTCAGGGGCTGGTACACCACAGGTGTTCAATAAATGTTTGTTGAGGAACTGGAGAAGGCAGACAGCAACAGAAAAGAGGGAACTAAAGAAAGGATCAGTGTGGCACTAATACAGAAAGTGTGGGTGGTCTACGGCCAGGGAGCGAGGCTGAGTCCACGCCATAGAACACTTGGATGTCAAAACTTCTAACCTGAAAGCTGGGTGGTGGGGGGGACCCCTGAAGTAAATTTGCTCAGGCAAGTGACTCACTCAGAACCCAGAATGAAGAGCCAGCCATGGGAAGAGCTGAGGGACAGAGGTACCAGGCAAAGGAACAACTAAGACACCAGTGTAGCTCAACAGTGACGGGATAGTTATAAATCAGGCTGGAGCCAGATCACGCAGGGGCTTTCAATTCTCATCCCCAAACTAAGAGAGAGATCTTTGACCCAGGAAAAGATGAAGATCCATGTTTTGGGTGGCAGATGGAAAATGCCTTTCCTTCCCAAAGAACCTGTGATTCCTAGATATCCTCACGGGCAAGGAGAGGTCTTATTCATCTGGCACAGCCTCATTATACCTAAAAAGCTCAAAATTATTTGCTAAATGAAGTAAATCAGAAACCCAGAGAAAGAAAATTAAAAACAAGAGACCTACTAACAAAGTAGTGAGGGCAGAGGACTTTTGTTCATGGCACAGTTATTAATCAATAAAAATAGTACCCAGGAGAGACATCAGTGAGTATTATGGCTTTATGACCCAGGAAAGGAGTGGTTCTATTAGGAGAATGAGGTACTGGGGAAAAGCTTGATATTTTAGATGGAGCTGTTTTCTAATTGGATGTATGACCTTGGGTAGGTCATCCCCTTCTCTGGTCTTCAGATTCCCTGAATTAAACTGAGGGAATCAGACTGACTATTCACCAAAGAATTTGAGTGAGTTCCAACTCTCTTTGTAGTTTTACATTCTCATGTGTCCACCATAATTGCCAGGCACAGAGAAGATGCCCGTGAGTATCTGCTGAATGAATGAAAACCAACTTCTCATTTTACAAGATTGGAAACTGGGGCCTGGAAGGGTTAGGTGGCAGCTCAGGGAGAAAAAGCTAGTTAGTAGCAGTGTGTGGGGAGGCCCTGGGACTCCAGCCAAGAGACTCCTGGGTTCCTCAGCAGAGGTAAGAACAGATGAAGCAAAGAGGAGATAGGCAGAGGAGATGGGCACTTTGTTGGAAAGGGGGGGGGGGCGGCTTCCCAGCAGAGAGCTCCCTGGAATCCAGCGGACACCAGACTGAATGGTGCAGTTTCTGTGATCAGACTGATGAAGCTTGAACCCCAGCTCCAAGATATACTGTGTCAAGTACTTGCCTTAGGCCAAGTCACCTCTGTGTCTTAGGGTCCACTCTTTGGTAAAATGTGGGTAACTTATAATTATAAAAATCGCTGCGAGATCAGTGAGAAAAGCCATATAAAGACTCTTGAACAGTGTCTGGTACGTAGTAGGGGCTCAGTAAATGTCCACGTGGGTGGCACTTTTACCACTCCAGCACAGCCCCTAACCCGAGTGGCAACTTTTCAGGAGAGACAGTTAAAAGGCGCCTACAAATGGAAACGGGTGGTGGGTGGTAAAAGCGATAGTAAAAACAATAAATTCCCAATTACGAGCCAAAGGAAGCGTGCTCAGCACTTCCCGTACCCCCTTGGCCTAGTTTATGAAATCTCCCACGTGCTGGTCCTTCTGAGGTCCGGGTTCGAGTCTCACAGTGACCTTGGACCAGCCTCGTTCCTCCCAATCTCGGTTTTCTCATCTGCAAAACGGAGGTGGCGACCCCACCGCTCAGCCCTCCCAAGGATCCCAAAGAGGGGACCCCGGGTCGCGCCTCGAGTCTCCCGCGCCTGCAGTGGGGTCGCGGGGCGCCGGGGCCTGCGTGGCCGCGGGGGTGGCAAAATCGCTTGGCCCCTGCAGGCCCTCGTAGGCCGGTCTCCATGGCAGCCCGCCCTGCCTACCTTCCTGCCGGCAGTAGGCCATGGCTGCAGCCCCGGCGCTCAGACCTCGCAGAGATAGCGGTGGCGGCGGCAAAGGAGGCAGCGCGATCACCCTGTTACCTCTTCTCAGGCAGGGCGGGCGGCTCCGAGGCCCACGCGGACCCGCCCCCTCCAGGCCTGCCCGCCGCGCGCCTGCCTCTGCGCCCTCTCAACCCTACCTCGGCCCCAGTCAGCTGGGAACTACATTTCCCAGGAAGCCGCGCGCTGGTCGGTGACTCTTCAAGGCAGTGGAACTACATATCCCGGAATGACTTGCAGTGCGCAGGCGCATCAATGAGGTACGGTGCGTGTTGCAACTTAGTGGCTAAAGCGCCTGATCCCGGACTACATTTTCCAGGAGGCCCTGCGGCGCGCATGAGCAGAAAAGCTGTGGCTCACGGGGCGGCAACTTTTGCACGTCCTCCCTGATTCTAGGATTCACGCGGATTTTCGCAGCTCCTCGTCGGGCGAGAGACCGCTGGCCTCTGCACTCAGGCCGTCAAGCCCTTACATAGCTGAGCAGAGCGAGGGTGAGCGCCCAGCCTGGTCCCACCATGGCAGCGAACGTGAGTGTCTCCTGGTCTGCCGGACCCCACCCATACTTACCCATGTCCCCGAAGGGGCCGCCTGGGTCCATCTTGCCTGCCTGCCCCTCGTCTGTGCGGCCAGCCCCATCTCCCTCTGCATGCCCTTGTTCCGGCTTCTTGGCAGCTAGCCCGTCCGTTCACCTCTCTTGGTCTGTCCGGACCTCCTCGTCGGGCCGCACGTTTGCGGGGAGGGAGACTCAGGAGCTGTTGTTCCCGGCATTGGGGTCTCCTTGTGCTAGGCGCCTTCTCGCAGCCCCTCCTTTCATTATCAGTTCCCGCCTGGGCCCTTGGGCTTCTCATTTACGGGCTGTGAGAGCGGGACGCGACTTCCGAGGGGGCCAGTCCGCGGGAAGGGTGGGGAAGCCGATACCGCTCAGGTGGAGCTGTCCCATCAACTGACAGACAGGACTGTGCGGGCGGACAGGGAGCTCCACGCCCTAGGGAAGCATGTAAACCGAGGCTGTGATGCTGCAAAGGGGTGCGGGCGAGATTGGGAACGGAGGAGTTAGGATGACCGTGAGAGGGAGCGTTTCCCCACTGCCCGGCAGGGCCCTTGTCCTCCTAGGTGTGTTTGGTTAGAGAGGCCATGGCTGAAGGTGGTTCCCTTCAAAAGCCTTCTGGCTGTTTGTCCCTGCAGCCAGCCTGTCTCGGGAACCTTTCCACTTAAGATTTAAGCCCAACATTCATTCAACAACCGAACAGCACCTCCCACCAGGGTGCTGGGTGTGGGAGAGTCTGGTGACTCACCACTCCCCTCCTCTGTGAAAGCGCTTCTGGAGCCAGCCCTGGTGCCCTGCCAGCCCCAGGACACTCCCTCCCTCCTACTTTGGTGGAGTGTCCTAGCCACTCTCCCCTGGCCTGTTACACTCTCCTTCCAGCCCCTCCTCTGTCCCCAAGAGCCCTCTCTGCCCCCCACACCCTTGGAGAGGAGGATTTATATCACTGACAGCCCTAGCGTGCTCCGCCTCAATTGGAGTTGTCTGGGAGACCTAGAAACTGTGAATGCTGCACCTAGAAAAGCCTCAGAGGTGGTCCGAGACCCAGGGTCTGCCAGGGGAGAGGACAATCAGGAGACCAGCCTGCCCCCAGAGGTAGACTCCTGTCTGCCCCCATACCATGTTTTACAGATGGACAATTTCCCCAGTAGGTGAAGGCACTTGCCCAGCTTGGCCAGCTACTTCATGGGAAGATGCTGAAGACAGCAGGCTTTGGAGTCAGGCAGACCTGGGGGCAAATCCAGTTTCTTCCTCTTAGAAGCTGTGTGGCCTTAATCACTCTGGGTTTGTGTTTCTTCGTGGCATCTGTTAGTGCGAAGTTTAAGGGAGTCAGCCTGTGCTTAGCACAGTGCCTGGTGCATAGAGGGTGCTTAATACATGAAAAAAAATCTATGTTCACAGTCTGACACAGATGGCCCTGGTGGGGAGAGACTGTCTTGGGTACATTGGCACCTGACCTTTGCCAAGGAATGTGTATGAATGTGGGTATCTTCTGCAGTCAAACCTTTGTTGAGTCATCCAGGAGCTGGGTGCATGTTTACAGGAGCCACCAGGCCCGGTGAGGAGGAAAGATCTGAAGATGGTGGGGTGGAGCAGGGAGGTGACAGAATTTCTTAACTGGTATAACAGCAAAAGTGCCCTGTGACAGAGGTACTGTGAACCATCTCCATATTATATGTGAGTAAACTGGATCAGAGAGGTAGAGCAACTAATGCAGGGTTACACAGCAAGTAATTTTCAGGGCCTGTGTATCAACCTCTGTACCATCACTCGTTGCTCTTTGCTCCTTAGCCTAGAGTGCTTACTGAGGACACCTGTATGTATTCAACACCTATCAAGGAGCCAACATCAAGATAAGGGGCTCAAAGATGGCCTTGAGGGGAAGAAGAGAGGCACTGGAGGGTCGCCCTCAGGCTAGGGAAATAGTCCGGTAGTGAGATATGGGTGGAGGAAATCACCATCATCCTCCATTCCAAGACCCTCCATGTTTACTGGGATTTTGTTTTGGAATGTGGGCCGAGTGTGTCCTGTCACTACCCAGCCTACCCTTCCTGTAGACTGAGATATACCCTCCTGTGCCTTTCTTTCTTCCCTCCAAGGCCTTCCATGAGCTCCTCTCTTTGACGTTGGCTCCTAGATGTATGCTGAGGGGAGGCCCAGAAGGAAGTTATGCCTTCTGGCTTCCAAGTTTGGGGCTGTGCTGCTAATAGCAGGACGGGCTCCTTTTCCTGCCACTCTCTGCAGCTGGCTCCCAGTGTTCAGCTCTCCTTACAGCCCAAGAAGTGAGGAATGAGGCTTGGAGCAAAGTGGTAGGAGAGTGGCCTCTGTTCTGTCCAGATATGAAACTTAATTCTCCCTCTTAGAGGCTAAGTGATCTGGGCTGATGACTTAACTGATGAGCCTCTGTTTTCTCATCTGTGAAATGGGGTAGCGATAGCTTGCCTGTGATTGGCCTGTGATAGACTGGAATGTTGCCGTTGTCATCATTCGATGGTTGATGGTCACCTCCCTGCCGGCAGTGAACTGCTCTACTGATGTTTCCCAATGATATGGAAAGTTAAGACCATTTCTGAATCTAATGGACATCTGGACTCTGGCAGGCCTGGGCTGGGGACATTGGGGGACAGTCAGAGAATATGGCATCAGCCTTATTCAGGCAGAGACTAACCTGAATCTCTCCTCTGGCCCCCTGTGCCAGGGGCTTGGCTCACTCTGAGTGCACGTCTCAGAACCGCTTTACACCTTTGTGACTTTTGTCAGCTTACCCCCAGCCATGGCACCAGTCTTGGTGTCAGTTGCAAAGAAAGCTGTTAACATTCCCACCCTTAGCGCCTGTGCATTACGTCCTATGTCCTAGGCACTGAACTGTCTGATAATTAAGTCCTTTGGTTCTCACCAGAACCCTGTGTACTGGGTTTTTATCCCCATTTTACTGATGAGGAAATGGACGGCATAAAGGGGTCAATTGCTCACCCAAGATCCCATAGCTTGAATTGAAACCCACTCCTTCTGGCTCTGGAATTCTGCCCTTAACGGTGATACTCAGTCAGCAGTGGACACACTTCAAACCATGCTTCTGTTATTGGTTGGATAAAACTTGACCCCCTGACGCTGGAGCTTGAGGCCTCTCATGAACCTGCCTGGATGTGTCTAGCTGCCCTCAGTTCCCTCCACCCAGGCCTCCCCAAACCCAGCCAGAGCAGATAGGCAGCTCTGCTCCTGGAAGCACTTCCCTCACCACTGCTCAGACAGTTCCCCCTGCTAAGGATGCCCTTACTCCAGAGTCTGCCTCTGAGATCCCAATCAAATGCCGCCTCCTCTGGGGAGCCTGCTGTGATCCCCCAGCCGGAAGGGGTCCCCTGTTTGGCACAGGATCTGCTCCTCACCAAGCACTCAGCATGGCTTAGTACTGTTTGTGCCTGCCACTCGATGGCCCTGCAGCCTGTTGTCTCCTTGCCTCACCCCTACAAGACCCTGCATGGCCCTTGGGAAGCCGAGCCACCGTTTGATGAATTGAATTAATAATATATGTCTAATAACCTCTTTGTAAAGCAGTTTGGCAGTTTCTTAAAAACATACATCGTCCCTGTGATCCAGCAATTTCACTCCTACGTTGGTATGCATTACCCAATACCCAAGGGAAATGAAAGCACAGGTCTTCATAAGGACTTGTACAGGAATGTTCATAGAAGCATTGTTTGTAAAAGCTAAAAACTGGAAACAACCAAAATACCCACCCACTGGTGACCGAGGCAACTTACGTGGTATACTCCTAGATGGAGTACTACTCGGCCATGTAAGGGAATGAGCTACCACTATACCCCACAGTGTAGATGACCCTCCTCAGAATCTGGACAGAAAAGAGCTGGTGCTGTATGATGGCCCCATTTCTATCGGGTTCCATAAGAGGCAAAACTAACCTATAATGATACAAATTCAAATAGTTGTTACCACTAGGGGCTGGGGAGCAGGGAACATTGGCAGGAAAGAGGCACAAGGTAACTTTCTGTGATAGTAGAAACATTCTGTATCTTGATCTGGATGTCAGTCAAGTGGGGTAAGCATTTGTCAAAGCCCATCAAACAGTATGCTTAATATCTGTGCATTTTACTGTATATAATTGAAACTCAATGAGAACAGTATACACAAATAGCAAAATTCAGTTTACTTTTTAAAAAACTAAGTTTCATTTTGATTTTTTAAAATATTTTTTTCCTCAGTATTCCAGTATGACTAACAGGAGAGAACATGTCAAAACGACGACCAACCCCCAGCCAGGCTTCTTGGAGCGGCTCAGCGAGACCTCGGGTGGGATGTTTGTGGGGCTCATGACCTTCCTGCTCTCCTTCTACTTAATTTTCACCAATGAGGTAAAATGTCTGGCATCCCTTTGTGCAGAGTGTGGATCCCTGCAGTATTAGAAAGCAAAGGCTATGAATCCAGAGGCTAGAGGTGGTAACAGGGCCTAAATTTTACAACAGGTGGGGTAGGGGGGAGGGAGGGTAATGGTGCTGAATTAATCAGAATTCTTTCTCTTGTGACCCATCTCATAACTGACCTAAATAGGAAGATGAATGAATTGGTTCACATTGCCTGAAATCCTGGGGTAGCTACAGCTTCAGGCATGGCTGGATCCAGGTGTTCATGTTGGGTCACTAGGAGTCTCCATTTTTCCATCTGTTGCCTCTTTTTCTCTCTTACGGATTTTTCTTTGACAGGCTTTTCCTTTTGTGGTGGTAAAGGTGGCCCAGCAACTCCAGGGTCACATCCAACAGCTTAGCAGCCTGATCTCTTCCAAAATCAATTTAGCAACAGTTGCAGAGAGATATCTCAGTGTCCTGGCTCGTCTCAGTCCTCTCTCTGAACAAATCCCTGTGGACAGTGGACCCATGTTCTGTTTGGCTAGGCCTGGGTCACATGTTTGGGGCAGCAGTACAGAGGGGCCCATATAAACTACAAGGACTGAGAGGGGGGAGGAGAGAAGACAGAGAAAGATGGGGGAAGGGGCACACAACAGACAAGCACCAGTTGTTCCCAGCATGGAGTAGTGCTGAGAATTAGGGGGGTGGGGTATGCAGCAGGAAGAGGGCTACCTGGGAAAGCAGGAGTCCTTGGCTCCAGTTCTAACTGTGCCACTTGCTGGTCCTCGGTTTTCCGACTGTAAAATGGGGAGATGAGTCTCCATGCTTCCCGTAATGCACTGCAGTAAGCACACCTGTGTTGAACCACACCTGAGTTGCAATCCTCACTCCCGTTTGCTCACAGGGCCACGCACTGAAGACAGCAACCTCCCTGGCCGAGGGGCTCTCACTTGTAGTGTCCCCCAACAGCATCCACAGCGTGGCCCCGGAGAATGAGGGGCGGCTGGTGCACATCATTGGGGCCCTGCGGACGTCCAAGGTAGGTTTGGGGCTGCTCAGGGCACATTGCTCAGGGGACCAGATGCTCAGGGCAAACTGCTGGATGTTGTGTGGTTGAGGATTTTGAGCACATGGGCTCTGGCGATGGACACACGGGTGTGACTCCTAGCTGCACCACTCAACAGCTATGTGGACCAGTCACTCCCAAGTCTCAGCATCTTCATCTGTAAAATGCAGAGAGTACCTGTAACAACCTTGGGGGTGGGGGGAAGCTTTTAAGAGTTAGTGGGATTAGATGGCTAACCTTTTGGCATGGTGCTTGGCACACGGCCGGAGCCTTACGAGGAGGTGCTTTAACAATTATGCTCTGCCTGTGTGGCTAGTGCAGGGCTGAAAGGTACTCTGGTTATCGGACCTCTCCTGTTTGAACCCTAAATACACTGTTGTTGGCACCATGCCATCGGACCGTGCCACCCGAGCCGGGACTGTTGAGACTCCTGGTCCCCAGGCAGTGGGTGTGAAGGACTTAGGCCAGGCAGCTTCACCTGACTCTCCTGCCTGAAGCAGCCGTGGTAGTCTCCATCCTGTCCCTGGCCTCTACCTGTCTCTTGTCCAGTCCCACTTCCTCTGGCATCCTAGGCTCATGTGAGTCTTGGCCTGTATTCTGTTTTTTTGACTTGTGTGATTCTTTTCAAAGCTCTTGTCTGATCCAAACTATGGGGTCCACCTCCCGGCTGTGAAGCTGCGGCGGCACGTGGAGATGTACCAGTGGGTGGAAACCGAGGAGTCCAGGTGAGGTGCCGGGGAGTGAAGCCTCAAGCAGGGATAACGGAGGTACAGATGTTAGGATACGATGCAGGTGGCTTTCGATTTTGACACTTCTGAAATTTAAAGTATTAAATCTTGTCGGAGAAGTGTCAGATTATCCCGAAATTCCTCATCAGTGATCTTTTGTTTGGAGGTGGCAGTAATCTAATGAGAGTGGTTCCAAGAAGGAGGGAGGATGAATTAGCCCCCTTGTGGAGGACGTCTTCCGGGGATGCCCAGGATCGACACGTGCCCAGATCCAGGCCGCAAATAGTGCTTTCCTCTGTGTGGGCTCTGTGTTCTTGCCCAGGCCAGAGCAGAGGTGGCCCTGGCTTACGTCCTATCCATTCTAGCACAAGTCTGAGGGCAGGTGTCCTTAGGCAAGCAGGGGTCACTTGGAGCTGAGCGGCATGGACTGTGAGTGAGGGGTGGGGAGGTGGCTAGGGGAGCCAGGGCAGCCAGCGGGGGGGCCTCCGTGGGGCTGTCCTGGTGCAGATGGTGCAGCCAGGTCCCTGAGCCCAGAGGTCAGGGCTGCAGCCCTTGGTGTGGGCCGAGTGGAGGCACATTTCAGCTCAGAATACAAAAGCTCTTTTCTCCAGTGTGGGCCTTTGAGGGATAGAGCTGGCTGTGTGGCGGGGAGTAAGCACTCTGTCTCCCGGCTGCTGCAGACAAGGCGGCTCCTTTTGGGGATTTTGACCTGGTCGCCCCGAGTTGCTTCCAGCTGGAGATGCTTAGGGATGGGAATGACTCTGGGGTGAGAGGCTAACTCTGGGGCTGCCTGTGCTTTCCCCGCAGGGAGTACACTGAAGATGGGCAGGTGAAGACAGAGACAAAGTACTCCTACAGTGAGTACCGGGCCCCCCCATCCCTGCACACATGTGGTCTCTGCCCTCAGTGGAGGCTGACGGCCCTGGGGAAGGCATGGAACAAGGCATCGGGAACCCTGGGTGCCAGGCCTCAGAATCCTGCTCTTCCATCCCTCCAGCGAGGCTTCAGGAGCCGCCCCTTTGGCCCTGGAGTGGCCACGGGCTTGGATGACAGGACACAGAGCCAGTGGGCCTAAGACACATGGCCACTCTTACCATGGTCTCTGAGTTGTTCCCTCTCCCTGTGACAGACACCGAATGGAAGTCAGAAATCGTCAACAGCAGAAACTTTGACCGAGAGATTGGCCACAAGAATCCCAGGTGAGAGCTGGGTGCCCAGGCCTGACTGAGCACAGTCTTGCCTGCCACTCGCAGGTCCCCAGCCTCAGCTTCCTCATCTGAGTGATGGGATTGAGTTCTTCTGTCTCCTGAGCTGATGGAAGTCTGGGACATGGCTCTGAGGCCAGTTCCTGCATGGGGCACCAGGAACATGGAAGCAAGACCCAACTTTCTGAGCCCACAAGGCTCCCCTCAAACAAGTCATGAACGTAAGGCCTGGACTGAGTGCCTGAAGGGACTTGCACATCCAGCGCCAGGGAGGCATTTTGTTAACAGCCGTGGGGGTGGGAAGACAATCAAGAAGGGCTTTCAGGAGGCAGTGGAATTTGATGTGGGCCTTTGTAGGATTTTGGCAGAGGGCGGTTAGCTCAGAGACACGGGGGTGGTGAGATGGGCTTAGTGTGGAGCGTGGCTGGAGCTGTGGTAGGGCTGTTCCCCGGGGGCGGGGGGCAGGGGGGGTTTCGGAGCTCCCTGGGGCTGGGAAGGGTCAGGGAGGGTGTGAAGTCCACAGAAGGTCCATCTGACAACGGGTGGCTGGGGAGGGACAGGCCAGTAGGGGTCTAGGCAAGGAGGTACGAAGCTCTGGGGGATAGGAGATGGGAGGAGGGTGCTCCACTCAGGCGAGGGGGACAGGAACGTCCTGGGGGGTAGGCCTGGTGAAAAGATGTCCACAGTGCCTGGGCTGGTCTGGATTTGCAGGAGCCCCCTGGGTGGGAACCCTGCCGGGCATAACCTAGAGAGACCCAGAGAGCTCCTGGCCGGCGCCCTGCTCTGCCAATAGCTCCTTCTCTCTCCCACAGCGCGATGGCGGTGGAGTCGTTCACGGCAACGGCCCCCTTCGTCCAGATTGGCAGATTCTTCCTCTCGGCAGGTAAGTCTCTGGCCCTTCAGATGAGCCAGCAGCACCCAGAGGCCCTGTGCTTCTACTTGGCCGCCTCCCAGGAGCTCGGGGCCCTGCTGCCCTAGTGTGGGATGAGCCTGCACTTTCCCGGCATTGAACTTTGGGCTGGGGGCCAGAGGGAAGGCGGGTCCCCAGGAGGTGGGGCCTGTGTAGAACAGCCCCACCCCAGCCAGGCTCCTCTGAAACATGGGCTCTTCCCGAGGAGAACTGCCAGGCCCTGCTGCCCGATCTGACCAGACGGAGCAGAGAGCCCCAGAGCCAGTGGTAGAGACAAGGCAGCCCCCCAAGGGCTCCACCTCTGAGCCCCACCTGGCATCTAGCAATTCATTGCAGGCGACAGCCCCCCCCCCCAGCCCAAGTGACTCCAAAGAGGCTTTCCAGGGACAAGACGGCACCTGGGGTGGGAGAGAAAACACATAGGCCCCAAGTAGCCAGGGTGAGGGAGGAGCGGTGGAGGCCCAGTGCTCCGCCAGGATGCTCCAAGGCCTGGCTTGTCTGCCGTCTGCCCTATCGCTCAGCTGGGGACTGCTGTGCCAGGCAGCCCCGGCCTCAAGTGCACTGCACGCAGCCGGGGAGCCAGGCACAGACGGGTGCCTGCATCCGAGGCAGAACAGGTGCAGGGCTCAGGCTGTTCCCAGAGCTGCCGTGGCTCCCGCTGGCCGAGATGGCGGACAGGGAGGCTTCCTGGAGGAGGCGGAAACTAGAGGGGGCCGGCAATATGGAAGGAGGGATTGGAGAAGGGCACTCCCGGTGGGAAGGAGGTCAGGCTGAGGGGTGTGCAGGTGTGGGGGGGGCGATGTTCGTTTGCACACTACTGTTGTAATCGCTGCACGCTCCTCAGGCCTCATTGACAAAGTTGACAACTTCAAACCGCTGAGCCTGTCCAAGCTGGAGGACCCACATGTGGACATCATTCGCCGGGGAGACTACTTCTACCATAGCGAAAACCCCAAGTATCCAGAGGTACGCAGGGGCATGGGCTGTTCACATAGCGGAGATCAGGGCCCTGGGAGTGCTGCCCCTTGGACAACACACAGGTGGCACATTCCTGCTTGGGACTCGGATTTGGTTCAGTTGAATCCGCTTGGCCAAATGAGATTGGAGGGGAGAAGCCTCAAGGTGATGGGAGCACCTGGGCAACGGTGTGGAGGCGGGAAGAGCGTGGGAGCTTTGGGGTTCGACGGTGCCAGGGACACAGGCCCAGGCTGGCTGCTCTCGGCCTCACTCAGCCCACTTCTCTTCCCAGGTCGGAGACCTGCGCGTGTCCTTTTCCTACGCGGGGCTGAGCGGTGATGACCCTGACCTGGGTCCAGCTCACGTGGTAACCGGCTTTCCCGGGGCGGAGCCAGGCAGGGCCTCCTACCCTTCCCCTGTGTGCAGTGCCCTGAGCACTCGGGACCCTTCCTCCAAGGCCATGTGTGCACGCACCCCCCTCTGCATGCGGCCGTACCTCTGAGCGGCTTTGGAACCCTGTGTGCCCCGCAGCTGTCCGTGGGCATCCGTGGGCCCCAGGTTACGGGGCTGTCCCCCTGCGGCTTTACAGGGACCTCCTAATGATGCCGGTGAGAGTTCTGCCAATCGCATGCAGCTTTTCTTCCCCCAGCCCTAGTTTTGGCTCAGGTGCCTGACCAAGTCACCTGCAGTCCCAGCCCTAGCCCCAGGCTGCTGCGCCAGGTCCTCCCCCGAGCGTGGAACGAAGTGGCTTCGCCAGGCTCGTGGCTGGCAGGATCTCCTCACTCCTGTGGTGGGCACACCGCGCGAGGGGTGCTGGGCCGGGCCGGCTGATGCCCTCAGCTCTGATGCTAAGGCCTCTGACCAGGTCACTGTGATCGCCCGGCAGCGGGGTGACCAGCTACTCCCCTACTCCACCAAGTCTGGGGACACCTTGCTTCTCCTGCACCACGGGGACTTCTCAGCAGAGGTGAGTCGCTGCTGCCCATCTGTGTGAGCAAGGGGCAGGCGTCTCCCTCCCTCCTTCTCCCTGCCCGTGGTTATTCAGTAAGTGCCCGCACGGGAGGGCGCAGCCAGCGCAGAGGCGGGGGGAAGAAACGGAAGGAGTAAGAGTCGTGCAGCGGACTGTGCGGCACGAAGGATAGCAGGGGAGGCCCAGCAGACTCCTCCTTCCCAGGCTTCCTGTCTCCTGCGGGGGGTTGGGGGCGGGGGGGACACTCATCAGAAGAACCAAAGAGTGAGGACCCCCTTGTGCTGAGTGTTGTGAACTGGGGGCGGGTGCCCTGAGAAGCAGACAGGGGTACGGGAGATTGACTCTGACAGTGGTCAGGGCAGGCCTCCCTGAGTGACAGTTTGGCTGTGTCACAAGTGAAGGGAAAGGGGTCAGAGCCGGCAGCATGGGGGGTCAGGCAGTCACTGAGGCAGGAATGGGAGCACCAGGATTACTCCTGTGGATGCCGCCCAGAGAAGAGGCAGGGCTGCCCAGTGGGCAGGGGCTCCCCGTGAGGGGTGGGGGGTTAGAGCCCCAGAGTCCTGGGACTGGAGTGAGGGCCGGCACCCTGTCCCCGTCTGTAAACTGGGGGGGGTCATGCCTCACCCTTGTCCCATTCTTGTGCTGATTAGTTAGTTCAGTTGCATGCCCTAAAACTTAGCCTCTCTTCTCTAGGCAGAAACCCTTCTCTTTTTTATTTTTTTAAAGATTTGTATTTATTTATTTGAGAGAGAGAGAGGGAGAGTGAGCATGAGAGAAAGAGAAAGAGAGAGCGAGTGCACGCACACCAGCAGGAGGAGAGGCAGAGGGAGAGGTGGACCCCCTGCAGAGCAGGGAGCCCGATGTAGGGCTCGATCCCAGGACCATCATGACCCGAGCCGAAGGCAGACGCTTAACCAACTGAGCTACTCAGCCACCCCAGAAACCCTTCTCTTTAATGGAAAAATCGTTTTGTGTTGTTGATGAACACAGTGTGTCACCGGTGGGAAATTTTATTCTTGCATGGAGCAGGACTGCAGGACTTTTCAATCCATAAGGCATTGAGATGGAAAGGTGGTGGGGAGGGGGCAGGGCATGGCTGTGGCCCTATGACCCTATTATTAGGCCCTCTGCTGCCATCCTTCTCACTTCAGCCCCCAGCCCCAGGTGGTGATGGGCCCCACCTTCTCCTTTATCCAGGACCAGGGTGTGACAGGCTGCAGCTCACCTACCCAGTTACCAGCCTCAGGGCAGGGCTGCCACCTCCCACTTGGATGGGCATGAGTCACCCTTTCCATCGGCAGCTCTCAGCGAGTTTCTAAAATTAGGAGGCCCTGCCCAAGCCTCCTTTCTGTCCGGCAGCTCCGGCCCCACCCCACACTTCAGCCTCCTGCAGGTGGAGGTCTGGGTCTCCCAGCTGTTTCCCCAGAGAGGAGTGGCCTCCAAGCTTCCCAGGAGGGAAGGCTCAGACCGGGCTGACCACTGTGGGCCTCCGGCACAGTGTCTGGGGTCTCTGCCAAGCAGGGAGAGAAGGCCCTGAGCTGAACAGGTAGCGAAGGCCCTGAGCTGAACAGGTAGCGAAGGCCCTGAGCTGAACAGGTAGCGAGGGCCCTGAGGTGGAACCCGAACCCTGCGAGTCAGCACACCCAGATTCTAGTCCCAGAGGCAGGAGGGCTCAGCGTGGACAAGTGTGGACACTGGAGACAGCCCCAGCTCAAGCGGGCTACAGGACCTTAAGCCAGTTGTTTATCCTCTTGGAGGATAAGAATTATGATCCCTACCTTATTTGGTTGTTGTAAAGATTATGCATACGCTTATTCCGAGTCTCAGTTTCCTTATCTGTACACTGGAGATAAGTGTGTCTACCTTGTGAAGTTAGTTTGAGGACTAAGTAAAGCAATACTGGAAAGCACTGAGGACAGCAGCTAATAGATGGTAGGCAGTAAGTGTTAGCTGCTGTTACTGTTGCTGTCCTAGATAATGACGGGGGGCTTTCTAAGGAAATGGCATTCACGCTGACATCAGAACAATGTGTAAGAGCTGGCCAGGCATGACTGGGGGCAAACCTGCTCCAGGCAGAGCTAGCACATGTGCAAAGGCCCGGGGGAGGGAGGAGGACCCTTGACCTGCTCCCAGACAGGCGGCAGGGCCTTGGCAGGTGGCTGTGGGGAGAAGGTGGTGGAAGCAGGGAGGCCAGTGGGGAAGAGGCTTCTGCAGTGGTCCTGGTGGGAGAGGGTGACGGTGGTGAGCGATTTGGGGAAATGGGGACACAGCATTGACAGGACTTGCTGATGGGCCGGATGGGAGGTGGTCCCGGCGGGGAGGAGCGAGCCAAGTGAGACACCCCGGTTTTGGCTTGTGCAGGCGGGAGGTGGCTGTAGCATTTGCTGAGGTGGGCTCAGCAGAGAGGAACAGGTCGGGGGGATGGGGGAGGCTGCAGGGTCGGTGTTGGACGGCACAGTGGGCAGTGGAAGGCCCAGGGCTGCAGCTCGAAGCCGGGGGGTGGGGGGGCACTGGCCGGGAGGCACCAAGGAAATGGATGGAGCTGGCGGGGAAGGCGCGAGACTGAATCCGCCGCAGAAGTGCAGCGTGCAGAGGGCAGCCCGCTGAGAAGCAGGGGGCACGCGGAGAGCAAGGTGTCCCGGAGTCACGGGAAGGGCATCCGAGGTGAAGCACCACACATGACACTGTCGGGGGGGGGTGCGGTGAATGACCCCAGAAAGGAAGCACTGTCGTAGGGAGGGCCGGGTGCATTCCAGCTGACGCAGCGGGCCAAGGACTCCTGACCTTGCACACTGCTATCTTCTGCCCCGTCCTGTGCTGCACCGCTCGGGCCGACGCTTAGGCCTGGGTGGGAGAGGTGCCCTTACCTCCCCTCGTCTGCTTAGAAACGGCCAACAGCTCCTAGCTTGGTGTGGAATGTACCCCTCAGCACCTGCGCCGCCAACTGGGGAGGCTGGGGGCCCCTCAGAGACATGAGGTGTGATACCCGCCCCCCACCTTGTCCTGCAGGAGGTGTTCCGTAGAGAACAAAAGAGCAACTCCATGAAGACATGGGGCCTGCGGGCCGCTGGCTGGATGGCCATGTTCATGGGCCTCAACCTCATGACCCGGATCCTCTACACCCTGGGTAGGTGTGCGGAGACAGGTCGGTGGGTGGGGGGGTGGTCCTGCTCACCCTCCTGCAGCCTGTGTGCCTTCTCCGCTTCTCACACCGCCCCTGGCCCTTTCCAGCCTGCTGCAGTGATCCTCGGGGCAGAGACCGGGCATTTGGCCGTGTCCGTGTCCCACTGCACGGCACTGGGATGAATGGGCCGAGGAAGGCAGACACGAGAGACAGGTGCTTCAGGGGTGGGGGTGGGGGTGCCAGCTCCTAGGAGGGTGATCTAGGCCTTGTGATCTGAGGGTCTGGTCCGTCTGGCCCCAACTCTCCTGCTCCTTCCTAGCCCTTCACTCCACGAGTGAGTGGGCACGGCGAGGAGACTAGCCAGCCTTTTGAGCCAGACCCAGAATCGGTTACATCAGAGCTCTGGACGCCTGGGCCGTTCCCTTTCCTGTCTCAGCTTCAGTTACCTCACATCTCATGGGCAGAGTTTTGTGAATGTTTGGCAAATAGGAAACACCCCCAAACCATAATGCTTCCCTCCCCCACCCCAAGACCTGGGCTCGATTTGGGGCAGCCAACAAGTTGGAGCACAAGGCAGAGTGCTGGGCCGCTCACTTGGCCTGGTCGGCACCCGTGAGCCCAGCAGTTGCCAAGTGACCCAACCTGGCGTTGGACTGAGGCCCCGGGTGGTTGAGTAAGTGCTGGCCCCACACTGTTGAAATAAGCCTGAGCCGGCCCCCCACCTCCAGGATTTCACTGGCTACTGGCCCAATATGGTGAAGTCTAGGATCCAGTGAATCCATCTGGACTTACGCTGCATGGCGCATCTCAGGGGACTTGCATGCAAGCCTTTAGCTCATCCGATGATTGCGTCCAGCCTGTGCTGGGCCCCACAGAAACCTCTGCCCCATTTACCCTCTCCCGCTGGGGAGAGGTCTGGCCACAGTACCTCCCAGGCTAGGAGGGAAAAGCACAGTTCCTCCCCTCCAAGGCTTTCTCTGGACCGCTGAGTTGGGCTCAGAACAGCCAGCCGCATCTTGCGCACCATTTGGGAGATCAGAATCTGATCAGAATCCTCCCATCTTCCCTTTGCACTGAGCCCCTCCTGGCTGTGTGACCTTGGGCAGGCCTTTTCCCCACTCGGAGCCTCATCCCCTATCGTGGGAGTCCGGCTCAGAGGGCCCTCTGATTCTCTCCTCATCTGGAACGCTGACGCTCAGACCCAGGACAGATGTCAGAGCGCAGAGGGGTCAGAAGTGCAGGTGGGGTGACTGGGGAAGCTACAAGACAGAAGCACGCGTTCACTCCTCTGTTCGGGCAGTAAGTACTTATTGAGTGCCTGCTGTGTGCAAGACCCTGCTCTCGGCCCTGGAGACTATGTGGTGAGCAGGACAGACAAGGTCCCTGTCCTCTCAAGGCTCAGAACCATGACTGAGAGCTCAGCTCTGGGCTCACACCGTCTTGGGTTTAAATCCTGGCTCTGGCACTTTCTAGCTCCAGGACATTGGGCAAGTTGAACTGCCTGGGCCTTGGTGACCTTGTAGGTAAAATGAGGGTAAGAACAGTACCAGCCTCCCTGGGCAGGCACGAGCATTTGAGGAGATGGTCCACATAGTGCCCGATGCATGTCAATGCACAAAAACACGAACTCTGCTTATTAGGGGGGCCAAGGTGGGCAATATGTGGGAACAGACCAAGATGAGCCAAGAGGTGGCCTGCAGGGTCCTGTAGTCATGGCAGGGCATTAGGCCTTGCTCTGCAAACCCAGTGGCAGCAGACCACTGGGGCCTCCTAGAACTGAGGGAAGGTTCCCCCCACGGACTGACGTCAGCTACGGGATGCCAACCTGGAGGGGGTAGACAGGCCAAGGACAGTGTAAGTCCAGATGGATTCACTGGATCCTAGACTTTACCATATTGGGCCAGTAGCCGGTGAAATCCTTGAGGTGGGGGGCCGGCTCAGGCTTATTTCCCTCCGCCCTGCACAGAGCTGGGCACAGAGATAATTGGTAATGACTTGAGTGAACAGACACCTCCAGGAATGGCCGAGGAGCCCAAACAGGCACCCACAGAAGGTTCTGCCCAGTCTCCTTTGTGAGTGTGCAGCAAATGGAATGTGCCACCATCACGGGCAGATGTCTTCTATTGGCCTCAGACTGATAGCAACATCCATAGTTTTAGGGGCGACAGGGCACTTCCACCGGCCTGCTCCCGGGAGCGGTGCGAGGGGCGAGGGGCACACGCCTTACCTGCGTCCTCCAGCTCTCACAGGAGGCTGTTTGCCTTCCGCCGCGAGCCCTCTCCTGTCCCGGACCAGGCAACACGGGCCCATCCTCATCTACAGACGGGAATGATCTGCTCACCTCTGTGACACAGAGCGTGGTGGCCTCGGAAGCCTCACCACCTTTCTCTTCCTCACAGTGGACTGGTTCCCTGTCTTCCGAGACCTGGTCAACATCGGCCTGAAAGCCTTTGCCTTCTGCGTGGCCACCTCGTTGACCCTGCTGACCGTGGCGGCCGGCTGGCTCTTCTACCGGCCCCTGTGGGCCCTCTTCATTGGCTCTCTGGCCCTGGTGCCCATCATCATTGCTCGGACGCGGCTGCCATCCAAAAAGCTGGAGTGAATCAGGCCCCGGCACCCGCCCCACACCTGCATGATCCTCAGGATCCAGCTCCTTCCCCCGCCCTCCCCTCCCCCCAGCCCCTCTTGACCTCGAGTCAGTTTGGGTTCTGCTCCTGCTCTGCTCCTCAAGGGGCCAGACTTGGCAGTGTGCATGGAGGTCAGGTTTGGTGTTCACCGGGTCACGTCTTCCCCACCCTTTTGCTTGCCAGCGGGCGGCTGTGGAGCGCAGAAGGCAGCTCCTGTCTGGCAGTGTGACAGGCCTTCTCCTTGCTTCCTTCCCTTCTCTTGGGACCGCGTGTGGCCGGTTCACGTGTTTCGCTTAGCTGAAGTCTGCACACAGGGAGCTGGTGACACTCCGCACAGAACTGCTGCCTGGTCACTCACTGCCCCTCCTTCTTGGAGACAGGTGCCAGGGCTCTGCCCCAGCTGCCACCCACTCTGTGAGCCCCCGGGGCCAGCGTCCTCAGCTGTCCCTGAGCAGTGCTGAGCGCCAGGACGGACTAAGCGCGCACCCCCCCACACACGGGCGCCACACACCCAGCCTGGGCACAGAACCCGCCTTGGTGCTTAAAAAAGACCACCACTGAGGTCACTGGGAGCAAAATTGGACATTTGGTGGGCCTAACATGGATTTTATGGTTTGGCAAGAACTTGTTCGTGTGTAGGACTTCCAAAGGTCCCGTCGGCTATGTTTGCCTTTGTTACACTTCATGGGTAAGCTACCCGAAGAAATTTAAAATCTTTAAATTTCAAGATTTAAAGAAACAAAGCACTGCTTGAATGATGAGCAAATCAGACTGTTACAGAAAAACTCCCTGTAATCTGTCCGTTGAAGTTAATTCAGGCACAGGAAGGTATTACACCAGGGTGTGACGTGCTGGCTTAAAAAAAGTTACCTCTGGCAGTACTCGGGGCCAGTGGGAGGCCTGAAGATGCTTCTGAAGCCAGTGTCAGCCAAGGGATTCCACTCTGGGAGGAGATGGGATTTGTACAAGGTGGAGAAAGGCATTTCCTTTCATCCTTTGGCTTCAGAAACTACCGATTTCCTTGAAGATGAATTTTGAGTTTTTAGTCAACCTTTAAGGAAGAGGCTGGAAGCTTTCTGATCCTAAGTGGGCTCCCTCAGAGTGACCCCCATCAATCTGAATCAGGAGCCGGAGGCCTGACCTGAGGCTTGTGCAGCTCTCGGGCCTCATTCCTTTCGTGGAGGGGTGTGGGGTGGGGGCTTTTGGGTTAGCCGCTGGGCCCCGGCACCTGCCTCTGAGTGACTCCTGTCACGTCCGCGTCTGCAGCTTCACTCCTACGTACAGTCTACCTGCACTTCACCCCGTCCCCTCTCACCCCCACTGAAAGAGCAAGTATGTTGTCACTTTGATGGTTTAAAAGATCTTTCCTGTACCCTTTATCTTTTTATGACTTGGACTTGTTCTGCCTGGCTGGGAGCAGCTACTTTCGCAAATTAGTCAGTGGCTGAGTAAGTGATCGGAACTCCTGAAACTAGCAGCCTGACAATCTCTCGTTAGCCTGCGAGGTCTGTGGTGTGGCTTGAGATTCTTCACACCGACAACAGCCGGCCCCAGAGATGACTTCTCTGGACTTAAGAACTGAAATAGTATTCACTCCTGCAGTTGTCACTGAATCTCTCAACTCTTAAAGGATGCTTCTGGAAATAAATACAACTAGGTGGTAGCTACATACAAAATCTGTGGGATTTGGTTTGTGTAACTTTTCCTAGTACAGATTTTAAATTACTACGAATTTCAATAGTGTTTTTAAAGGGCAAAAGAATGTTAAGAAATATTTGAAGTCTTTGGGAAACCATGAAATTTGTATTATCTTTGTATTTTTTGAAAAAATTCAAAATAAATTTCGAAATAGCTTTTACAGGACCTTGCCGTTACTCTTTTTTTTTGAAATTTCTATCTTAAACAATCAGCCGTAGTATTAAGAACTGTATGGATTTTTAGAATTCAGTTCTTAAGTAGCTTTTAGTGGTTAAAATAGGTTTCAATTTTTCTTAAAAGGGCAACTCGGTATTTTTAGCACTTAGAAGCCTTATCTACCAAAGCCCACTTAGTTTTGGATTGATTTAAAGGACTCAAACGTCCCCCAACTTCAGAATGCGTCAGAGGAGGTGGCTGGAGCCACAGTGGGACATCGTGTGACACCCTCCCCCAGCCCGGGCCTTAGGTTGGCACAGACCCGAGTTCCAGCGCCCAGCCTACCACGTCCTGGCTGTGTGACCGTGGCGAGTCTGCGATCTCTGGGTCTCAGCTTCCTCATCGTGAAAATGGCAGTGAAAATGGCTTTTGTCCCTACAGCGCCGCGGCAGGGACTTGATGAGCTCAAGCCCACGAAATGCCTGATGGACGACCCAGCAGCTTTTCCCTTTTACCTCCTGTTCGGAAGCAATAGGCAGCTGCTGAGGGGCCACTCTGGAGCTGACAATTTGTGTACTTTTTGTGACAAGGTTTGAAGCAGGTGATTTCCCAAAACCTGCTCTTCCTTCTCAGACCTGAGGTTCTGTTCCATCACGCCTCCAATGAGCTGATATCTGCCCGAAGAACAAGTTGCTGACTTCCAGGACAGAGTGTGCTCTGGCGCCGGAAGCGCGAGGCCCTGCAGTTTCCATGGCGACCCCGGTTGTTTCTCCACACCAGCCTCCCAGCCAAGCTCTCGCTGCCGATGAGTCACACCCCAAGTGTTCTGTTTGTTTCCCTTGGAGAGAACTGGCTCAGAGTTTTAATGGCTCCCGTCAAAGGTTAAGAAACAGCTCTCCTCGCTTAAACATAGAAAAATTTCCACGTGTGGAATGAGGAGTTCCCGGTCTACCGGAGACCCAAACCTGGTCTTTAGTCTCAACACGCGCACAAATCACTCAGTCATGCAGGTGTTCTTAGCTGACCATAAATCTGGAAGAAAAGGCAGAGCTGAGTCTTTTTAGATAAATGTTTTATTTCTTCCTCAAAATGTTACAAAAGTTATTTCTCCTGAATTATCTACAATGCATAGAGCTTTTATAAACTTATCCATAATGAATAAAATCTAGCCGAACACTGATCCACTTTGACTAACATTTCTTTAACTCTCAGGGTTTTTCCTTTTCTTCGCTGATTTTAGCTCTTTGTTCCAGTCTTCTGCCACCCTGAAGCATCACTTCCAAAAAGGAGGTCCCCCCCCCGCATTAATCTGAGATGCCCGTCCTTCCCACCTGCTCCCCGCCACACCACGAAGGGGCAGCGTCAGCACACCTGGCTGAGGGGAAAAGGCCTGGCCCGCAGAGAAAGGGTCCCACGTCTGCAGGAGAGGCAAAAGCACGAGGGTCTGACAGATGAAGAACTCACCTAGAAGAAGGGGCTGGTGCATTTCTAAATCGCCCAGTGGTTTCTGTAAAAAAATGGACTCACGTTTCCAAAGGTGGGCTGAGCAACGTCTAGGTGGCAGGGGAGTCTCCTGGGAAGTGTTCTGTGGCTCAAAGCATAGGGCGTGGGAGCGGACAGCTTTGAAAGCCCTACCCTGGGTCTATGTGACAAGGCCCGGGGCCAGCCCAGACCCATGACACCATCTCAGCTTGACCCCCCTGTCCCCTGGCCCTCATCCGTGGTGCACGCAGCTTCTGGGTCTTCTCAGAGGAGACGCCACCACCACCAGGGCCCTGCGTAGCACAGGGTGCCACAGGTGGCCACCCTCATCACAGCCTCTCAAAGGGGAACAGGTGGGAGGCCGCGGCCGCCTTCTCCCTCTTGGTCTTCTTAGGGCACTTTGGCTTCTGCTCTTCTTCAGCCTCTCGGTTTTGGGGCCAGGAGGCAGCCAGGATCTTCGATGCTTCTGCTTGAGAGCTGGTCCCCTCCTCTTCATCAGAAGAGAGTCCATCTCCGGCAGGTGCTTGGGGAGCTCCTGCCTCACTCTGGAGAGGGAGGGACAACGGCAGCCGGGAGTCAGCCATCAGATGGCAGGGAAACGCCGGGGGGCAGTCAAGCCCCCAGCAGCAGCCTGCCCTGAGCCAGTGACTCTGGGAGGACGGGGGCACCACGTGGGGCTGGGGGAGCCTCGCACTGGGGACTCCGCCAAGCAGGTACTGGAGAACTTGCTCTGGGCTCAGGGCTGGGAAACGCAGAGATGTTTACGCAGGAGACTGCCCTCAAGGAGCATACAACCCGACCTAGGAGATCCCAGGACTGGTGCTTTGCACTTCTTTACCTCACTTCTGCACAAAAGCGCACTCATGTCTTTAACTGCCCCGGACCAGCTCTCCTTGCCAAGTGCTCCGAGGAGACGCTCCCTGACTGCGGGGCCAGCTGGGCTGGGGAGCTGGGCCTGGAGGGTTTGGCTGCGCGAGGTGAGAGCACGTGGGGGGACGGAGTCAACATAAAGCCTGGTAAGAGGTCACCAAAGGGATGTGAGGGAGGAGTCCGACAAAAATAGTCTGCCACTTTTAAAGGCAAACTGGCAGCAGTTCGGGGTTGGAGACAGGGAGACAACAGGTGCGGTTTTGGCTGTTCCCAGAGCACATTTCTGTGTCTGACCCAATCCTGATCTCACCACACAGCTGCGTGGAGGGGCCTCTCTGCCCCTCTGGGAGCCCTTTGAGGACTGCATGTCAACTCCGCACAGGTTGGCCCAGGCCGGGGCAGGTGCCCTGAAACATGACTTAAGTGAGCAACCCCAGGCCTGGAGGACGGCCACAGGCGCAGGGAGCCTGTCTCTCCCTGGATCGGTTTAGCACGAGATCAGACCCCTGCTTGTGGCAGACAGGAGCAGGACAGGGACGTCGGGGTTGGGCTGGGGGCTGGAAGAGCCAGCTGAGGTGGACTCCAGGGACACCTTTCCCAACAAGGTTAGGACACAGATGTCTCAGAGACACAGGACTGTGGTGTCAAAACACAAGGCATCTCTGGGCAGAATCCGGGCCCACAGTTCTGGGTCCCCTTCTCCCACCTGGGCTTGTCTTCTTTCCAAAAGAGCCGCACTGACCTTGTCCCCATAGCGAAGCTTCAGCCTCTCCCGGATGAGCAGTCCCCTGACCAGCAGCTTCCAGTTCCCCAGGGCCCGCTTCTCTCTTTTCTGCCGGCAAAATGAAATGGAGAACACAAAATGTTAAGTACTGTCACTTTCAGGAGAAGTATCAAGATGGAATCTATGAACATATAAAGATCCAAAATAAGACTTTTTGGTTAAAAGAGTCCCTCAACCATGCCGAGTCTGTTTTAAAAGGAATGTGATTTATAGAGTGATGCACATAAAAGGCAGCAAAACAGAAGCCTCTTTTTAACTGGTAGCAACTCTAACATCTTCGAGGAGAAGGCTTGGACCACAGCAGTTCCCTTCAGCAGAAGCAGGCGTGGATGGCAGGTGCAGTAGCCCCCGGAGCCGGGGTCCAGTACCCGGTGGACACGGATGCTGGATGGTGAGGTGGAGGCAGGACCCTGTTTATCCGGGGCTGGCTCCCTAGGGTGCCTTCCGCAAAGTCCGAGAGCTGGCAAGAGCTTTGGGGCACGTGGCCTCTCCTGTTTTGTTTTTTTTTTTAAAGATTTTATTTATTTATTTGACAGAGAAAGACACAGCGAGAGAGGGAACACAAACGGAGAGAGGGAGAGGGAGAAGCAGAC